ATTTAATGTCAAGGTATCCTCCAACACCAACTAATGCTGATGATACCATAATCACAAGAGATGTTAAGAATAAAATGGATGGCACTACATTTGACAACGATGAGGAACACACTGCTGAAGTCAATGTCCTCACACGATCAGCAGCGCGAGCACGCACGACAACTGACGATAAGCGCATTACCATCACAACAGATACATCTCCTAATCCAGGAACAAATAAAAAGTCTCGGCAGCTTCGTCCAAGAAATAAGACATTTACCTACCAGGCGTCAAACAATTTAGTACCCTCACAATCATCAACAATGAAACAACAATCGTCGAGCAATCCTGCTTCATCATCATCCCTGCTGTTTGATTTTGATATTAAAACATTGAAAGATGAACAACGTCACGATAAATCAATTCAAGAAAAAATTAATCATATAAAGCAGAATCCACAGACAACTTTATATGAAGTAGTTGAAGATACTTTATATAAAATTGTATTAAGAGGTGGGCAAAAGCGAAGTAAACTACCGTATCTACCATCATCAATGATTGTAGTCTTTATTTAGTATCAATCATGTTAACATGACAATATGGTATCATTCTATGCTTTCAATCTAGTTCTTAATTAAGACGCCACATATTAGTACTTAGAATATTTATTAGCCATCAAACATATTAGTGGGTATGAACAACTAACTTACTTCACCGAATTTGCACTTGAAATTATCTCAATAGAGACGTGTGTTTTATAAATCAAGTACAATAACAACTGAAGAAAATGAACAAACATGTACATAGATGTATAAATGAAAACGCAAGAAGACGACGGCGGACTACTACAAGAAGCTATCGTCACTATTAGTAAATGTACAAAAAAGATTAAGTGACGAACAAATAAATACGATGAAATATAGAATGAAACAACAACTATAACTGTGCACATGGTTAACAGTGACAGAAGAATAATAGACTAGTACAGCAAGATTTCCATTAGTTCTTTTTAGTTTTGTTTTAGTCGACAATTTTTGTTGTTTTCTCATGAACGGGACGTTCATCGTACAGAACGGGGGAGGTGTTATGTAAGGAGATCCTCTTACATACGCAACCAAGTCAGATATCTTTATATAAGATGCTACATTGCATCATATCTGCTTTGACACATATTAAAGACGTGCCATAAGAGACAATTGTATGATAGGTATCATACATATATATATATATTCATTCTCTTTCTTTTTGTCAAGAATTTTCCTAGTGTTATTTCTTATTGTCAACTATATGTATCTTTTTCGTTCTCTGTCTTTCTATGACGAATTTCTCCAGTGTTAGCTCTTTCCTATCAGGAATTTCCCTAGTGTTGGTTCTTGGTTTCTTTATTTTCTGTGATCGCTTAGATGTATCCCCAGTTTCCCAGTCTAGTACATCAACTCTAGAATATTCCGCTTTTCGTGTAAACTCTCATATAAATATACGCTATTTTTATGCAAAGGATATCATGTTCAGTTTCTAAATAAACATTTAAAATCATATCAAATCCAGTGATACAAATCAAACAATCTCTGGCGACAGCAAAGCGTTACAACTATAATGACCAGAGCCACATAACAATGTTTTGGGTGGTAATTCTGTTCGGAGCGGACCATATCCGGCGTTTTCAAGTAAGCGGTTTGTTTATTGTTTGTTTTGAAGGTCGATTCAGGGTCTTTCTGCAGTTCGGAACGAAGGAAGAAATGTAGAAACTGTTGCCGGTGATATGTTCGTTGACTTTGATCAGAATGATTAGTGTTAACGCCGATTCTCGCCTTCTTCTGGCTGGCTCGTTTTTTGTACATTTTGAGGGCATATATTTGTTTCTTAGATGCCAGAATTAGCTTCTTATACTTCTCTAGGGGAGCCAGATAAAACTAGTGGGGAACTTTTAGAAGTAGTAATATGAATATTTTCCTCGTTTTGGACTATTTTCAAAAAATCAAAAGTATTTCAGACGAAAGTGACTTCCAGACATATCAAAATCAGCTTTAAGTAGATAACTCGATCAGCTTTATTCAACCATACCGAAGAAAACAAAAGTCATTTTCTGTACGTTGTGAATTTCGCGCACCCTACATGTCGGGTTCGTTAGTACCAGGATCTTTCAGTCAAGGGTTAGTGGATCGAAGATGAACGTTACTTGTTGTATAACTTCTTTTTATTGTATAGATGGAAGCGATTCTCTTCTTCCTTCCTCGCCTATTCACATATTGTGAACAAAATAAAAGGGTGGAAGGTAAGAAAGAAAAAAGATGACTCGTCCTTTAAAAAGCTTTTTTGCTCATTTTGAAGACCTATCGGTTGCTAAAAATAGCTGAACGACATGTCATGCAATGCAGAATTTCACGCTTATTCCGTGTATGTACGGATTATTATGGTTAAAGTTAATCATAGCCAAAAAATCGGAAAATAAACAATAACTAGCATTTTCAGAGAGATTCGTCGCTAGTTAAGTAAGCCAAAGGTCAAAATCAGGTTTGAATTCTATGCAGTTACTATCCCACACTTGTAATATTGACATTATTGCTGAATTACGTAAACTGAAAATGGTTACCATACATATGTCTTCGGATGTAATAAAGCGGACCTTACGCACATCCATCATCAATACTCAGTATACATACAATGGGTCGAGAAATTACTCGTACATCCTTACACTATCATTTTGTTTTGTTTGCCATTTGTAAACCATACATGCTAGAGACTCGGGATTTTCTCAGTAGAGTATCATATCTAATCTATATGTAGCTATCCCTAGCATTTAATTCCATTTTGTTTTAGTTTTAAAAGAGAATACTTAAAAGATGTCCTTTCTTGACGGTGAAAATTATTCGTCCACCTTCGAAACAAAATTCCCTTTCAAACAAAAACTGGTATTAGTGGAAGATTTTGATTTATTTAATCGCTTATGTTTATCGCGAAAACATGAAGAATACGTTTCTTTTAAAGTGTTTTGTTGAGGCGTCCATTCTTCTCTTAATTAAATATATGTTAAACATGGATACGGGGATAATGGGTCCTAAAAAGAAAGGACAATATTTGCAACGGACTCGGACCTCTGTATTGAATCAGAAATTAAATTGTATACCTACTTTATCACCACATAATATATGCTGATGAGATTCTTCGATTTTTTTACATAATATTTTAATCACACGAAACTGTACTGGTTCTTAATTGAGAAAAAATCAATCGCAGATTTATTTTGTAACTTTGCAACAGAATATTTCAACTTTTTCCCTGCTACAAATAAAGTTTCATTGACATGATATAATTTTGTAACTTTGGCATTCAAAAATGACTAAATGGCTAACTATGCCGCGAGATCAAGACATTATAGCGATCGCGACGCGATCACATATCGCAGAGTGACTCTTAAAAAAGATTCTTTTTGAAAGTAAGAATTGATCAAGATCACGCCGCGACTTCGCGACATTATAGCGATCGCGATGCGAATATAGAAAGCCTTTGATGATGTTAGCCATGAAGGTTTGCTACTGAAATTGGGAAAGAAAGGTATAAAAGGAAAACTGTTACAATGGTTTCGAAGCTATCTGAGCGGGAGAACAATAAGAACTGTTGTAGAAGGTGTATTGTACTTGTCGTCCAATTACCAAAGGCTTTTCGCAAGGCTCTGTGCTAGCTCCTTTTCTTTTTCTTACTTATTTTGATGACATTACGTGAGAGACTGAAAGTAACATAAAGCAGTTCGCAGATGATATAATACTACTGGAACATACGGAGAACGTAATAGATGCAACAAATACACTTAACAAAGACGTCGGAAAAATCAAAGAATGGTCGGATAAGTGGCATATCCCACTTAATTTTGACAAATATGAACCAATTACTTTTTAAAATAGGTATTACTGCACACAGGCTGACAGCTTACCATCCCTCCTCTTGGACGGAAAAGCATTGAATCAACTGCATGAAGTGAAATATATAGGACCATATTTGTCACAGACCTGACTTGGAATTTTCATATTGACAGACTGTGTAATCGAGCCCGTTCTATGTTAGGGGTACCCTATGTAAGAATACACCAGATATCATTTATAAAGCATATATCTTGTCTCTGTTCAATTACGGCGAAATAATATACTCCTTAACAACTTAGACCAATCTTCTGAAATTAGAGTCAATTCAACACTCACGAGGGAACCGCCTGAGGTGCTAAAAATCTTTTTGAATGGGACTATTTTTAAAATGTAGATCCTCATGGACTATGAAGAATCCCAACTTGGTTCGTGCGCAATCAGCTTTGTTGCTGAGATATCGAATTTTTACTCGAATTTTCCCCATA